GGCAGATGACAGGCTTTGATGTGGTAGCCGGGTTCTGCTACTGAAGCTGGCATTTTATCTTCTTGCATCAGATTTTTTCCCAAATGGATATGACCGAGGCATAGGAAACACATTTATCTTCAGATTTTATTCCTAAAATATGTTTTTACTGTACCTTTAAATTACATTTGGCTGACCATTGATTTGGGATCTCCCAGGCTCCTCCCACAGGGTGCAGACCAGAAGAGGGGTTAACAAAGCTTGCAAAGGGGGTGCAAGGGCTAGGTGAGTAGGGATCACCCCACGCTGCCCGGTCTCCATGTGTGAGGATGGCACTTCATGCTTTCTTCTCTACCCTCCGTCTAGTGCAACTTTGGCAGCCATGTAAGGAGTTCACAGTGAATTTCATGCTAGAGCCAAGGGCATGGCTATTGTTCTCTGTAACTCATATTTGCATGCACAGTGGGTATCCTACCTTGGGCTTATGGCTTTCTTTCCTTGAGAAGTGCTTCCTAGGTATTCAAAGATGCTGACCCACTGGAAATACCATTCTCTTTAGAATATCTTGCTTATGTGTGTTCCTGTTAGTTTAAATCATTCCTTCATCCTGGAGCTGCATTTCTAGCAAGGGATAAAAATGAATGACCAATTCCTGCATTTACAAAGGAATCAGACCACAAAACTTTTCCCTTCTCTAAATCTGATGACTAACCTATCTTAAAGAGAAGCATGGTAAAAATATCCGAAGACAAAAGATAGTACTAACCTTATTATTTGCTATGCAATGCTAAAAACAATAATTGGAATTTAGAAATTACTCAGCCCTTTATAACTTTGGATGAATCAGTAAGGTTCTAATATTCTGGGACTGCTTTTATACCATATCACCACTCTAACACTTTCAGCTTTTATTGTCATTTATTTCATCCAAAAACCCTATCTTTTTTCTATAGAAATACCTGAATGCATTAAGGTGACAAAATAATTACAGAAAAAGAATTGAACCATAATTTTTAAAAAGCATTTGATAATATACTAAAATATGCATAGGAATTTAGAAAATGGGTTGATCAATATGGATTAGAGCCATCAGCAAAGTTTTATAGAGGAGGTAAGATTTGAAATGTGTCTTAGGAAACAAAGAAATTCTGAAATGTGTCCTAAAATGAAAGAGAAATGCCAATATGGTTGTGGGAGAAGATAGAAGATGAGTGTGTGCTACTATGTTAAAATAGGCTTGAATATATTTAACTGACAAAGCGAGGACTTATGGAAGCCATTGGAAAGGAGAATGTAAGAACACCTGGATCAGAACAGCTATTCTAGATGTGAATGGTTGCATTTTTTAATGGCTATTCTGGTAGGAATGACAACATGTGACACACATCAGCCCTCTTTCTCAGACCCTCTTTATAATAGCGAGTATAAAAAAATATTTCTTTCCCATAAATATTTTCCCTGGGTGGAGGGAAACACTTATGTCTCTGATGCTTTATTGTTTCTCTCTTGCACAGTGTGTATACTGTCATTTGTACTTAAGAGTAGAATGGAACTAGGAGTCCCGGCTTGTAGCTATGGCTAGGAGTCCCAAGCTTCCATTGTGGTTTTGGGCAAGTCACATTGTTCTTCTAGCTCTCATTTAATTCATCGGTAAAGTAACAGGGTTGGATTAGACAATTTCTTGGATTTTTTTAGGTGCCAATATTTTGACTCATGATTCCAAGCAAAGCTATACCTGCTCATAGGGCCATTTTGCTTATTTTTATTAATACTAAAAGAGTGCCAATAACTACAAATATATGAGTTTACTCAATCATCAATACATTTATAAAATCCACAAACACTTTGAATTTGAAATGTTGTGATTTTGATAAAAATACATCCACGTCTCCTGTGGTCATTCTGCAGCTTGATAAATCCTACCCACTTCAGAATTTCAAAGAATGAGAAGCCTATTAATGCCCGATTGGACATCAGGATCCTTGGACAGCATATTTCAAAATCAATCCTCACTGCAGTTGTTTTTACGAGAAAGACGATCCTCTTGCAATGATAAAAAGACACTGCTCTATCTCCCCTATAGTCAACCAGAGCCCAGAATGTGATAAATGTGTTTATCACAGGTCGTTCAGATATGCAGAGGTATTTGTAAACCTCTACAATGTTTATGTTTCCTTTTGTGCTGCTGAAGATACTGTGCTGGGTCCTGCTCCTCTGCGTTCTTGGGGGAAAACAGGGAGCTACAGTTTGAGATTAGTGAGCAAAGACAGACAAGCAGAAGGGCTGCCGCTTGAGCTGCCTCTGTTGCCCGCTCATCGTCTCTTTCCATTATACTTGCACTTTGAAGGACATTTGCCAGATCCAGACTCCCCGGAACCCTGTTATTTGCGTGTCTTTTCTCACCTTCAACATGATCCAGGCTGGTGTTTTCATTTGTTAAAAACAACAGGAACATTCACTGGGAAACTTTTGCTGGAATGGTTTCAGGTCATCATAGCTATTTATTCCTTGTCATAAACTATAATTCTCCATTTCCCTTACTCCCATGTCAGGGGAGTTGGTGGTTTATGGTGGACAGTCAGTGGGATTTGAATGAACAGTGGAAGATTTCAAAGAACTGCTGAGATTATGTAGCAGGTTGTAATACTAAGAGCAAAACATAAAATATTCTTGGTCTTGATCATAGTTTGGCAGTACAAGAAGAAACAGGCTTACAAAACAGCATAAAAGATTTAGAATTTGTGGTTATACCTGAGAAAGAAATTTCTTTGAGGGAAGAAAACAAATCATGGGATTGGCTTAATAAGGGATTTCCTTCATGTGACTAAAAATGATAGCCTAGGGTCTGTCTAATCAGTTTCAGTTTGGGGGAGGTATGGAAGCTAGGATTTTTGTGCAGACTTCTGTTTAATGGGGGCATGGAATCAGGTCATGATGCTGTCACAAACACCCAGATGACCCACAGAGACCTGACGTGCAGTGCTGTAGACAAAAGAATTCGGAAAAAAAGAATCAGAACAATTCTTTCAAATATTCAAATGGAAAAGAGAATCCAAGTGCAAGACAATTACTAAAAGATATTTGATCCTAGGTGTATGAATTCTAATGTTGATACTATTGTAAACTAATTTTGCTACTAGCTAAATACTGGGATTGATTAGAATATTCTAGACCTTGATAGAGCACCTAAATCATGACTAATTTGGTTCCATTTTCAAGATGCAGCTGATCTAACATTCTTACCGAGGATATCACAGAAGTGCCCGGCAAAGCAGGGGTCCTAGTTAAGACACCACCAAAGTGAAAAGCCAAAGCGGTTATCAATTGAGCACAACTATGAAACAGAGAGAATGGTGTCAGCAGCTTCTTGGCTGGAGAAATCTGGTTGAGATCAAATGATTTTTTTTTTCTTTTCTACAGAAACAGTCTTCTAAGGACAAGAGAAGTTTCATGTTTTCCTTGGAAACAAGTTCAAAAAGCACTTTACTATATCTGGTTGCTTTAATTATCAAGAGGAAATGTGCAGTCTCTATTCTAAGCTCCAAGGGTATTCCTGGAGGCAGCATTGATGAAGGAGTCTCTAAGCAAAAAGACGTAGAAATCTCAGTTATCAGGAACTGAGAGATCTGGGTGGGAGCTCCTAGATTTAAGCTACTCTTTGAATCTACATACAATCTAGACCATGATTTCAATTCATAATAAGAATAATGCTATAGCTAAGGTAGCTGTCATTATTCTTAGGACATCATGATTCGTACTCGTAGTTGAGTGTGTTGTGTGTTTATAATTAGGGAGGACCAAGAGACTTTACACATTATAAAAAACAACTGAGAGCTCCTTTCTGTTAAATGTGGATCAAATGGCCAAGCTCTCCTTTCTCCCCATCCTCAGTCCAACTCATTATAATTTTTGGGGGGTTGAGCCTCTCTGGGGAGAAGCTATAGGAAATGTAAGTTCATCGGGCCTTGGAAATCTGCAAGTCTGAGAGGTGCACTGGCTCTGCGGTAGCTCTGGCAGCGGGTGATGGCTGATAGAGGTGTTAGCGCAGCTGGTATTCCAAAAATATTCCACTGGGATTCATACATCCGTCACTCCTGACTGGGCTGCATAGGGGATGGAGGACAAGAGTGTGGGACTCTCTGACTCCTCTGGGTGGCCTGGCTGATTAGCTTGCCAAGGATGCAAACTCGGAGAAAACTAAGGGGGATCTTGACAGGTAAAACCTTAGGGCTGTGATTCTCCAAAGGTCTCTAAAATCTTAGAGCCCTAGAACTCAGTTTGAGTGAAAATCTTTCGTGGATTTTTCGGTACTCTTCTCATTCTTGGGTTCTCAAGGAGTGAGTCCCTGGCTAATGTTAGCTTTGGTTGGTAGTGCTGTAGCTCTAGCTGTGATCTAGGCAGAGGTCCCTGAAGGCTGCCTTAGTAACAGAATGGAGGCTTGAGTGAACACTGTTGGGAATTACTTGCTGCTTCAAGCAGAATGCATGGTAAAGCATAAATCCATTTAATTTGGTTTGAACATGGTTTCTTCTCAATAACTCTACAGTCATGTGTCTGTGCTGGGGAGAAGGAACCAGGAGATAAGTTGGTGTACTTGATTATGAAACTGTAAGAATGAACATAATATCGTCTAAGACCAAATAAGGTACAAAAAGATCTACTCTTCTTCCCCCACCTCTAGAGAAGTCCATAGAACAAGGGCAGGATTGAGATTTCCCTTTAGCCTTCTTTGACAAAACAGGCATCAAAGAGCATGCAAGTAATGTCTCTCTGACAGTTCAGGTCTGGTCCCAGACTTAGAAGCAACAACCAAGCCTCAGAATTGCCAGGGATTCTTGACATACGAACTTGCGAGCACCAATGCCCTCATTTGCACATGCAAAGTGGCGTTTGGCTGTAGTACTTTGATAAGAATGTGAGCAAATGAAGCAAGATCTCACTATAGATATAGAATAAAAACGGTGCTACTTAGGACTCCTGAAGTGACTTTGGCTCCTTCTCATCAATTTCTCCTGTACTAGATGATCAGCTGAACTCAGAGGAAAAGAAGAAGAGAAAGCAGCGGAGGAACAGGACGACCTTCAACAGCAGCCAGCTGCAGGCTTTGGAGCGCGTCTTTGAGAGGACACACTACCCCGATGCTTTCGTGCGAGAAGACCTCGCCCGCCGGGTGAACCTCACCGAGGCCAGAGTGCAGGTAACAAGCTGCGGGAGGCCGGCACCGTTTAAAAGCACAAGTTTTAGGTTTCAGACTGGAACTGATACTAAAAAGGGTTACAAATGGTCAGCACAAGGACAGAATCCAGTTTCTAGCTGTGTTTCCTTGGGCAGCATAGTATTTTTAAAAATCAGATTGAATGCCTTGAAGTAGGGCAGAGTATTCCTCGCTGCGGGTCCCGCTCCTCCCCAGGGTTTCTGACCCTTCCCGACCCATGTTACATGCATCGTCCTTCTAAGCCTCTGACTCTGCTCCCCCAGCCTTCCATTTGAGCTCGAGGGTGGCAGAAGGGATGAACTCTCTGTCCCCCACGTCGGCTTTCCGCCCCAGCCTTTGAGAACGTGCAAACCTTCGAGAAACTTGGCATAGGTACACATAACCATGGACACTAGTGGAGTGGGAAGTGAATACTTAGGAACTGAGTTAAGAGCACATTTAAATGGGTGATTTCATTTGCCACCCACAGTGTCTCTGTGAGGGGAACAAGGGGAAGGGCATGTAAGACAGGGTAAAGAGACAATAGCAATTCTTTCTAAGATTAATGCCGTAGCACATCAACTACCAGCCAGACTCTAGAAAACAATAGACCTGAGATTAACAGCAATAATAATAATGATAACAATATAATAACTGTTGCTGCTTGAGCCTTATATGCTAAGTAATGCTCTTAACATAACCTATTTTATCTGCCTACCAATACAATGATGTGGATAGTATATTCTTCATCTTGCAGATGACGTAACTGAGGTGCACAGAGGTTAAAAAGTCTTCGGTACAATGTCACATAGCTAGGAAGTGGCTGAAATAGGATTGAATGCAGACACGTAGATCCAGAGTTCATGCTTGTAATCACTATGAAAGACTTTGAATAAGTGAGAGTCTACTGGCTAAATGCTTTTTCAAGTAGTGCTTTGCTATCTCTGCTGAGAGATCTTACTGTCTTCCATATTGCCAGTGGCAAGCTGCTGTTTGGTGGTGGTGGTGGGGGGTCAAGTTTGTCTTGTCTTCCTGAAGAAATTGTTGTTTGCATATGTGGGTTCAGCCTGAGTGCGGAGGATTTCTTTCTGCCAGTGATAGTCTTCCTGACTGAAGGGGACTTGAGCTAGACCCCAGGGCCCTTGCCTAGGGTAGGGAGCGTGTCTGTTCTGCAAGGCACGGTGCACTGGGAGAGGCACTAGTCGAGTTGATGCGGAGGTCCAGGAGGTCCCTTCAGCCTGAAGAGAAAGTGGGAAAGAGTTTTCCCCATTGTGAAACAGGGACTTCACCTAAAAGTACTCCCCAAGAGACAAAGAGAAAAATGTGAGTGACAAAAGCAGGAAGTGGTATGGGCCTGTGGGGACCCCGAGGACGGGTGAGGGGGAAATGTGAGTGATAGCGCCCTGGTGACTGGTTGGCAGTCCCTCAGGGCTGGGGTGAGAGTGATCCATGGGGACAGATCTCAGCCCTGCTCTCTCCATCCCGCCATCTGGTGCAGAACTACGAAGTGTGCCTCTCCACACCCTCCTCCCCCATGCTGCTTACCGCAGCTCTCGAACCATGCTCTGAATCCCTTCTTCTCTCCTAAAACCCCCCATATCTTTTATGCCCCAACTTCAGCCTGCAGTGGCATCATGAGCAATTTTAGACCAGTAACCCACAGTTCCCTAAACTGTGAAGATTGTTATGGTGATCTGAATTTTAAAGAAATAAATCTAGAAAGGGCAATGGTGGAAATATAAAAAAAAAAATGCAAAAGAACAATTTTGGGGTTGGGGACTATCTTGCTCCTTTTACAACAGGAAAATTTCTTATATGTTGAAACTATTTCTTTCTTCCCCCTTTCCCACCTTACTATGTTCTAATGACTTTCAGAGCTATGAGTAGGACAGAATTCTAAGCGAGTAGGACAGAATTCTCCCTCCATGACTTGTTTCTTTTTCCATGTAGCCCTTCCCTTTCCCAGTGTAAACCAGTCCCTCTGACTCTGGGCTTCTTTATGTATGTGGTATTTATCATAACATGACATGTATTGTATTGAGTTGCACGTGGGCCAACTCCTCCCACTAGACTGAGAAGTCCTCTTGGATGGAGGCCATGTTTGATTCATCTTCACAAAAGTCGCTTTTCCTTTCTTCTTTTTCTCCTTTTTTTCCTCAAACATTTATCAAGCACCTCATGTAGCCTTGGATCTTTTCTTGGTTTGCTGGAGATGAATAAGACAATAACTCTCTCCATAAAAATGTTTCAAACACACTGGGGCAGAGAAGACGGATGTGTAAACCGTACACATGATAGTGTAAGATGATTTCTAAATTAAAAAGAATTAGTGATAGACCAGAGGAAGGAATGATCCAATCTGTCTGGGGGAAAAGGAAGAGAATACATATTTACTAAGCACCCATCTGGGTCAATGCTCATAACTATCTTGTAAGTAGGTATTTTTATCTTCAATTGATTAGAAGACAAAGGAACAGAGAAATTAAATAATTATCCAAGGATAAACCTTTAAAGTAGTGTTTTTATTCAACTTTTAGGTTATGTTCAATTTCAAAGTCGAATCTTGAAAAAAATATATGAGCTTTGACACCAGGACAAAGAGTGGATGAATAACATAGGTGAGGTGGAGAAAGCTAGTGTGAACATATGTAGGTAGAAAATAGCCTGACACATTTGGGAGTCTTCTGGTAGCCTTGAGACCGGGGAGGAGTTGGAATGGTAGAAGGCCAGCACATGAGATCAGAGTGATGTGGCATGTGCCAGGATTCATGGACAAAGAGCTAATTCCTGAACCGCCTTTGTTCTATGATAAGAAGTTTCGATGTTGTTTTGTGAGTTATGGAGATCCAGTGCGTAATATAAAGCAGGGCATGGATATAATTATTAATATTTTAATATTTAAGTTGATAACTCTAATAGCAATGTGAAGGGCACCTTAGATACAGAACAGACGAGAGTCTGGGAAGCCAGGGAAGAGATGTCCAGATTCCACCTCGGCTGATTTCCACCCAGGCCCTTCAGTCCGCACGACTCTATGGGGTACTGGTCTCAGGGTGTTTTATGTGAATGTTGCCCCCACAAGTTGTGCAGCTGCTCACTCCATACCACAGAATTTCCTCCTCCCGTACCTTGTTATACAGTTCTATAATTGCACCTGATATACTGGCTTTGCAGTTTTTCAAATTGACATCTTCCTTTAATATATGGGGAGCTGCTTAAAAATAGAGAATAAATCTTTCTCATCTTTCTCTTCTCAGCATTTCATGTAGGGCCTGGCCTTTATAAAGCAGCCACTTTATAAAGATTTCTTGAATGAGTAAATGAATGAATAAAATTCCACCACAGTCTGGAAGAGTTGTGTGATCATGAGTTGGATGTTCTTGAGTTCAGAAACTCAGCCATTTATTATTTGTGTGGACTTTAAGAGATTATAGTCATGCATCACTTAACAATGGGGACCCGTTCTGAGAAATGCATTAGGCAATTTCATTGTGTGAACCTCTCAGAGTGCACTTACACAAACATAGATGGTGCAGCCTCCTACACACACAGGTATGGTATGGCCTATTGCTCCCAGGCTATACCTGTGCAGCATGTTACTATACTGAATACTGTAGGCAATAGTAATACTGTGGATTACAGTAATACTGTAGATATTTGTGTATCTAAACATATCTAAATGTAGAAAAGGTACAGTAAAAATACGATATTATAATCTTATGGGACCACCATTGTATATGAGGTCCGTTGTTGACTGAAACACTGTTATGCAGTGCATGGGTATATTTAATCACATTGAACCTGTTTCTTCAACTCTAAAAGAGAAGTAATAAAACCTAACATGTGGAATTGTCATGATGACTGGGGGTGATATATGTAATGTGCCTATATAAGTTCCTAGCTCTAGTTGCACTTAATAAATGATACATTTACAATTAGCTGTTGCAGATGCTATCGGCACCGCCCATATCCCTTGAACCCTACAATTAGATGCAGTTCAGTCAACTTCCAACCTTTAGGATGTATCTTTTTGTGCCAGAAGTTTCTAGAACTTCAAGAAACTGCCCTGTCTTTGTTCAGCATTCAAGAATCTCTATAACTACTGACAGGAGCCAGTGTATGAATACACAGCCCCTTCGCCCCTCAGAAGAGATAACTCTGAAGTGTGCACCCTACGCTGGTCTTAGTCTTTAGCATTTCTGATTTAGTAGCACACTCTTTAGTGGCTGCTTTTTCCTCTCTGTTACTTCCTTGCACCTTCCAAGTAAATAATTTTCTTCTTAAATACTTGTTGGAGCATGTACTTCTGTGGAGATGGGGAATTTTCTTTAAATATCTAATGAGCATTACAAAAGCAGATAAAGTTTTCACATTTGGAAGAATTTTTTTAAAAAAAACTTACAGAAAAGTCATTGCATCTGTGGCAGAATCCTAATGAAATTTTTCTACCTTTTCTTGATTACAATTATAACAGGGATTATAGCCCATGTTTTGCTGTCCCATGGACTCATCACAGATTCCATCTCTGGGGGCTTGATTACTGGAGTACTTCACAGTCCTGTCATACTAATATTCTTAACCCTTAAGACATGGCCCCCCAGGGAGGATTATGGCATATTTCTATTGACCTAGCAAGAATTCCATACCTTCCCGTATCTCCTAGGGAAGGCATTATGTATTAATAGTAAAACCAACCAGAATTGTATTCATGTAACCTGTTCTTTGTTTTTCCTCTCCTTCCTCATGCCCTTCTCCTCTCCTAACATCTTCCAGGTGTGGTTTCAGAACCGAAGAGCCAAGTTCCGCAGGAATGAGAGAGCCATGCTGGCCAATAAAAACGCTTCCCTCCTCAAATCCTACTCAGGAGACGTGACTGCAGTGGAGCAGCCCATCGTACCTCGTCCTGCTCCGAGACCCACCGATTATCTCTCCTGGGGGACAGCCTCTCCGTACAGGTGAATGACTGGCCCACTCTCCCTTGCTCCACTTCCACATGTTTCTCAGCGGTCGGTCACGTTTAAAGCTGCTCGTGGGGCTGGCTGACATTTCTTACTGGGTTAACTTCTTCAGAGACATTGAACTTGCTGACATCCCCAAATTTTCACAGGAGATTACTAGTTGCCCCAGAAGCAGGGTTTGGGGCAGAAGAGAGAGGGGCAGGCCAGCAGCAATCTCCTCTTGGACTCAGGAACTCTTGCAAAGGTTTCAAAGATGGGGAAGCTGTGCCCAGTGTGTCTCTTGCAATCACTCTGGAACAAAACTTTATTCCTTTTCCAAATTTAAGATAGATTTGGTTTTTTGTGTTCAAGTAGAGATTTAACTTGTAAGGCTCCAAGTGTAGAACTGAAGGCAAACTTCACAGTAAAACTGATTTCAATTTTTTTTAAAAAAAAGGAAGGAAGGAAGGAAGGAAGGAAGGAAGGAAGGAAGGAAGGAAGGAAGGAAGGGAGGGAGGGAAGGAGAGAGGGAGGGAGGGAGGAAGGAAGGGAAGGAAAGAAAAAAGGAAGGTAGGATAGAGAGAAAGACAAGGGAGAGAGAAGGAAAGAAAACCCAAGTTCATTCTGATCACTTTCATGGCCTCAGTTCTTTGTTAGTAGGTGGTGATATCTTATGATCCCAAATGCCTTCCTTTTCAATTGCTAATTATCTACTTGTCTGAAGGTTTCTTTGGGGGTTAGTGTGTGTGTGTGTATGTGTGTGTGTGTGCGCGTGTGTTTCTTTTAAATAAAAGAATATATAATTTACACTAAACTTTTATATTAAAAAAGGTGAAAATTTTTGAAGAAACAAATAACAGAGTAGTATTTTAATCTCATAGAGAGGCTTTAACCCCCATTTATTATACTGTTCAGAAAATACAGGTTATATGCCAGAGGGAAGCTGAGTCACAAGTGCCTAACACATTGGATTAGTGTAAGTGCCTTTTCTTGAACCTAAACCTAAGTATTCTGAGAAACCAGGTCAAAGCTACATGTTCTCTCTGGCTGATTTCAGTGGAGGAAGAAGTATTCACAAATTCATGTATTACACTTTTGTTTGCCTTTTTGACAATAAGGTTAGTTATTTGTTTACGGAGAGGTTTTAAATGAATTATAGGAGATTATATTCTAGCTGAAGTTGAACTCCTGACATGAAATGCACATTTGTGGAATGCAAATGTTTTTCCAAGGTTGATCGCTCTAATCAAAGCAAAAAGCCTCACCCAAATGTTCTTTCTGTTCCAAATCAGTTCCTTGAGAGAAACACCAGTAAGTGTGTTTAGAAATTTCTTTTATATTTGCTGTTGTGAAATTAACCTGAATTACTTTAGTCTTAGTATTTAGAGACCTCATGTCTAGAAAAGTCCTATTCTGGGCTCTGTTGCATTCAGACATGGTATGCCTTGCTGATTTTGAAAGATTAGTTATATCTGTGTGTCCTATTTAAACTGTAGACTTCTCTCCCATAAGGTTTACTAAAAATACATATTGAAGACCAGTATGACATCACATATTCTTTAATATTTTAAATAAATGGAAGGCTGCTTTGTTTTTCTCATAAATATTGGTAGTCCATAGACCCTCAAAATGTCTTGGGAAGTAGGCATGGTTCAAAGCCTGATGTTCAAGACCTCTGGTTTGAATTTGGTCGCAACTAGGAAGTATTGCTCCTTTTGGTGCCTGGATCCTCCTCAGGAACTTTTCACACCAGCTATAAACCATCCAGATGGGTGCCACATGGTCTTAAACACATTAACTGCCACGTGAGTTGTATTTAACTCACACTAGTTTAACTCACAAGGCCTGGGGCCCTGTGAAGCAAATATAACTCGCACATCTCTTTACCTTGTTGATGTTCTTATTGTTACAATTAATATTGACAATTTAATTCTAAAAATGTGGATTGTGTGTGTTGCATATAACTCACACACAGAAAACAATAAAAATAATAAATTTTTCATTAAATTATAAAGAATTATTTTGTTTTCAAAGTTTTTATTCATTTTCTTAATAAAATACCATGGCTCCAAGGAAAATTTTTTTTTCTAGTGTGGCAGTCAATGTGTTAACAGTGAGAGGCTCACAGTATACTGCATGAAAGGGGATGAAACCCTCCCTGAATTAATATAGGGTTATATTACCTGAACCTTAGCAGAAGTTCAAGCCTCAGTGTCTTCGTCATGTACATTTTGTGAATGGGCATCTAACTGAAATTATGAACATGGCAATTTAAGTGTGTTTTTTTGGAAATATTTTAATTAATAAGATTATGTAGAAATACTAGATACATTTTCAAGAACACGCATAATTCTACCATCTTGACATAACTAGTTGGTTCACTTTTGTGATTTAGAGTTCAATATTTGATATAGGTGTAGCCTTAGTGTACATATTATTTTGTATTCTGCTCTTTTCACTTAAAATCATATAACCTAGTACTTTTTACTCATTTCATGGTATGCTTTTTATATAATTTCTCTCTTAGATACAGACTTTGTAAAAAATTAATTGAAACAATACCATAGAATCTAATTGTTCATATTTTGTTTGAAGAATAAATTTATCTCCAGATATAAGTAGAAAAGTGATGGTTTAAAGCAGTAATTTAATCAATAACAATGTTTTTTGACTGGAGTGTTTATATTTTGGTTAATTTCTAAAAGTGGAAAAAGCTGTTTTGTTACTTGGAGACTTTTCTGCTATGTTTAGAACAAATCATGTTATGATTTCACACTTTGAAGCTTGGTAGGAAATATAATTATTGTAAAGGAAATATCAAAGAAAAACAAGTGACAAAAAGCAAGGAAATGATAGATATTTTGTATTATGGAAAATTTACTCTCTGTTTCTATTGGTAATATTATGTCAAGTTAGTTATCTCACGTGTGACATTCATTAAAAGGCATTTCTCTTGGTTAATTCCCGGAACACTGCTGTGTGATAGCTCTGTCCTTGCTCTGGTTCCAAAGAAGAAACTGAACATTTGCCCAAGTTTCATTCTTCAGCAAGCAGAATTAGAACTAGTGCTTGTGATCTCTGTTTTTATCCAACATATTAGGCCACATGACTACATTTTCATTCAAATTTAACCTTGCATTGTCTCGAAAGTAGTAAAAAGTATAAGATTGGAAAACTAAACAGCCCTTTCTGAGTCTCAGATCAGTGACACATGCCTGCAGCTGAGGTCCAGATTCTGGGGTCTGTGGGCATCCCACTGGGCTGACGGACATGGCTTGGTCATACAACCCAGGGACAGTGAGCGGATTTTCCAGAGAGGCTAGTTTGCTGATTTCCACAGTTCTCCCCTGGAAGAAGAAAGGAAGAAACCAAGGTGCAAAAGCAGTTATTTGCATATGGTCAGAATTACGAGTTGGAAAATAGCCAACACATTACTTTTCTGGATGTCTTTTACGCCCAGAATGGTGGCTGTATAATTTATTGTTCAAACTGGGACTTTCTTGAGAGTGAAAGGGGAGTGCTATTAATCATTATAGCAGCACAACAGATAAAAACCAAGATTGTCCCTGGCAAACTGGGACATAGAGTTGACTCTAATTATAGCACGTTTATACCCTCATTCATTCCCTTGAACGCCTTAGTGGTTATGATGCCAGGAAGGCAACCGAGTCACTAGAGGGACAAAGCACTTCTGGACATGGACCCTGCCACCCTGGCAGGTACCTTCTTTATGCACCTGCAGCCAATTGAAGGAAGCTTGGTTTTGGGCACACACACCCCCATTGCTTAACTCAGAACTATTTTTCTTAGGCAAATCTTGGGAATGAAAGCACACAAAGCATCAGAATTATTCAGGCTCACTACTCTTGTAGTGCTTTGCCTCTTGGGTAGCAGAGATCAACCAAGTCCTGGACTTTTGATCTGAAATGAAGTAGCCAAGAAACCTTTCTCCGGCAACACCCTTTCCTATGGGAGGTAGATAGTGAGTGGCCAGGCTCTGCAGTCCTGGCCTGGAGGGCCGCTTCCAGAGGGAGGGCTGGGCTTAAGAGAAAGCTAGTGAAAGAGAGGCCACAGTTTCCCTCCCCCACCCTCCTCCTCCTCCTGCTCCTCCTCCTCCTCCCCGCATTTTATCGTGGTCATGGTGCTGCCTGACATCTGCTGAACGCATTTGGCTCATTTCTCCCTTTCACACTTTCAAAAATAGATCCTCGTCCCTCCCAAGATGTTGTTTACACGAGGGGCTTCATAACGGATTCTAACGGAAGACACTGAAAAGGTAACTTGTCAGAGGGGGAAGAGGGTGGTGCTCTGGGGGTAGGGTGTAAGTGGGAATTAAGTGTGTTGAAGCAAGTGGGGGTTGCAGTCCTAGAAACGTAAGCAGTAAGGTCCTTGAGTGGGGAATACTGTTGGAAAGAAGAGCTGCAAGAAAATGAATCCCTAAATCGAAGGCTAGTGTATACTAGTCCAGAGCAGGGCTTTTCAAGGGTTGCTGTGCACAGGGATCACCTGCGATTGGTTACCATGCAGACCCTGATTCACTGAGTCTAGGCTGGGCCTGGGACTCTGCATCTCTAACTTGCTCACAGGTGACGCTCAGGCTGTTGATACCCAGTACACACTGTTGAGTAGTGAGGCTTTCGGTGACGGCAGGGTATGGGGCAGGGGTCACTAGAACTATGCTCTTGTCCTGGCTCCTGTTGCCCCTCAGGCCAGTTGGGTCATTGATTTCTCCTGTAGCCTTGTATCTAAAATTAAGCCAGCAATAGTTTCTCTACTGCTTATCCCACAGGGGTGTTTGGAACCCTACAGGTAAGCAATGTGTCACTTCGAAAAAGAAATACAAGAAAATCTTGCTACAATGGAACAATGCAAGAGGCTTTATATATATTAAAACATTTCTAGAAAGAAAAGTTAAAAATAGCAGAAGTATCCCTGAACATGTAGTGCAAACTGAAAGCTTACCAAGAAATGTGGTTCTATGTGTGTCTGCATTAAGAAGTAAATATATGTTAAAAAAAATCAACATCTGAATTTCAAAAAACAGAAGTTAGAAATGGTTATTTACATTGCAAAAGAGCACTTCCAAAAGGATTCATGGGAACTCTCTTTAAAAGTAAATTTCCTTAAAAAAAAGAAAAAAAAGAAAAAAAAAACCACCCTGGTATTAAATTTTCTTGGATGGAGCAAGTATACTCTGTTCTTACACTGACAAAAGAACAGACTGAAGAGATGATCTCCAAGTTCTATGCACCACAGAGTCTTGAAAGCCTTTGAGGAAAAAAAAAATCCTGAGCTGGTGAAACACTAGGATCTCAGGAAGACGCACAGACTTCTAGGGCTGACAGATTGGTCTTTGGGGTGAAATTTTAAATAGCTTATCATTATTTGCCCAAAAGGGCCAAGTAGAAAACAAAGTTAGAATTGAAAAGCGAGTTGGGTATTGGTTTTCTCCCAAGTTATCTTTAATTGTTATATGATATGTAGGACTTACACTATGGGTGATTAGGAAACAGAGGGATAATTGTCATAAATTTCTGGGCCTTAACGAATACTATTTTCTGTACTTCCTCAATGTTTGACAGATATTTTAATACTTCTTCTCTCACAACAACCTCTTTCCGGGTAGGTTGAAATGATCACAATGGTTTATCTCCAGTGAAAACAGGACTCTAACCCTGCTGGTGGTCAGCATTGTATTGTCTATGGCTGAGCTGCATCTGCTAGGAATTTCCAAATAAGGAGATGGAAAAATTTCAAGCTGACTTACATGTGTTAGCTCTGTGTAAGTCCCAGCGCAGACGTGCTGAATTGACAGATGGGATTCAAGCATTTCTTTTCAGTCTCTAATTTCTCAATGCACTTTATTCAGCGATGTTGCTTTCTGGTCGCAGACACAGAGAACTTTATTAAAACCAAATAAAAATGGTGCTTTGGTCAAACCCTATAAACTCAGTTCCAGGACTCAGCTCACGTCTGCACCCTGCTTACAAGAATAAATGGTTTTTACTCAGAAGGCAAGCAAAGGCAGGATCTCTGGTTGTTGTTAAGCAGGCTGTTGGTTATTGTCATGTGCTTAATCTACAACAAGTCATTTAGTTTCAATCTCACCTATTTATCCCAGTAAGATTAATTCTGTATAGGAAGTTTACTGGTCATTTTACATGTTCTGAATTGCCCTATAAACAGGTTGAAAACAGCTAATTACCCTCATTGGTTGTGGGCTTGTGAGAAAACATTTCAGGGTTCTCTTTCTTTTCCTAACACAGAGCTTTAGAAGTTTCCATGACATAGGCAGCAGGTGGTCATGAACAGCCTTTCAGATTGACAGCCACTCAAGGCTCTCTTGCTTCTGTTGTCACTTTGGGAGGCAGATTCTCTCCAACTTACTTCTAAGTTTTTAAAGCATGTCTAAGCTACTCCTAAAGTACCCACTCGTTAATTCTGTACCAAGAACTGTAACAAGACTCACTTGTCACTGGTGTGTCAAAGGACTGCTCACTTTCATCTGTATGGTACTTTTAGCTCAAGTTGAGAGACCAGACCCATGTCAAACCACTGAAGGGAAAACAGACTTGTAATTCTTTAGTATAGGCACAAAATAGCACTGGAATTCTTATTTGTAGGATTCTATATACTAAACATTTGTTAAGAGTCTGTGAATTAAGATGGCTTCTGTTCTCTTATCTTACTTCTAATGACTATGGGATGCTGGAATAAGTTAGATCAATTTTTGAAAGTTTATAACTTCTCTAAACATTTGTCAAGTCAAAGTGTTATCACCTGTCAAGCTCCTAGGGAATTGCAAAGTTCACTCATTAAAATTAAGTGCTTTTTTACACGTACTGTCCCACCAACTTGAGGGATAGCTATGAGACATTGTCGCAGACTTGCTAGTACAATGGCGTTCTTATAACAGCACCGTAATATAATAGGACAGGGGCACTCTTCTCCGCTGTGGAAACAGTCTGCCATTTAATTGAAAAATGTCCCGGTGAATATCCAATCTCCTGTGCAATATACAATCCTAATTCCCATACATTTGTTTTTATGTTGTTATTAAATGGATCAACATTCATCTCATTTGGGATATTACTGTCTGGCCTGCATTACAGAGAGAAACTCAGTACTTCTAGGAGGACTTAGTTATCAGGCTAAGTACCCAGGCTAGAGTATCAGATGATAATGTTGGTAGACTCAGGTGACTACAGCAAAAATGGTTATGCAATAGACAAACCTGCAATCACTACCATAGTAGACATTTCTGGAAAACAGTAACAGCATCTTCAGTAAACTAAAATAATTCCCCCCAAGGTTCCGATTCCCTTTGTCTAGGAAATAGAACACGTCTTTGATTATCAAAGAGGCAGCAAATTTCTATTAAATAGGACTTTGTCCATAGTCTCAAAAGATGAAAAACATATCCCTCAGAAAACTAGTCCAAGTGCTTAAAAGCATAATACTCCATGACAATCTATAATTTGTCATCAGAGAATTTTTCTTTATGCTATCTTATGCAGTTTTATTCTTCTGTTTTCAGAAGCCATTCAGTTTTATTCTCAGTACTTAACAAATAATACAGATGATTTATAATTCCAGCTTCTCTCTGATGTGTTTAAAATGGTGCTAACTGTGTATCATCTTTAAGGCTTAATTCTCTCATAGAAACCTGACTGAGAAAGGTTGACTGGGTAGATTTTAAAATAATCTATGACTTAGGTACATTTCCCAAATCCAATAATCTCTTTTCTTAGCTACTTAGAGCTGATGGATCCTTGGTATGTCCTAGATTAAGTATAGGTTTTATAGGTTTGCATACATTTTTAGTAGGGGTCTGAGTGGAAGCATGTGATTCATATAGGAACTAGATATGATAGGTATATGGGCTTTGAAAATAAATGACATTTCTTTGTACATTCTAAAAAAAACTTGTCCCATTTTAATGGGTTGTTCTGGTCATTTACCTCACTTCTAATTTAAACCTACCTTAACTGGGCACTCTTCTGCCTCTGTCCCTTGGTAGGCAGTGGTAGAAATAATAGTGCATAAGTCTCAACTGTGCATAGTCTATAAGTCTAAACTGAATATTTGTTCATTTTTTAGTGTGAAAAGATATTTTTTGATGGATACAAGAATACAGTCATCAGCCCCTGCTTTTTTCATGTCCTCTTGATTTTGTTCTTTCTATTAAGATAGCAAACTTAATAGTAAGAACTAGTTCCTAAGAATGAAAGGATATGGGTAAGTTTTTTAAAGAAATCATTAAAGCTGGATGATTGAGGTCAGAGGTCAGAGCTCAATGACACTGAGCAGAAGTCATTTTAATCATACTATATCTAGATATTTATCAGTTTTTTGGTCTATTCACTGAACACTTTATTCATTGAATGCTCTATTCATTGAACATTGAATACGTACTAGGCATGCTGCCTGCTATACCTGAGGGTACAGTTGTGAGCAAGGCAGATGTGATATATGGTCTATGGCACTTACAGTTGAGGACAGTGATAGAATCTAGGCAAATTATTGGTTAAAACTGAATTAAGTGCTAAAAGCAAAAGTACAGGGGGCTATAAAAGAACCTAACATTGTCTACAGGCTTAAGATCATTTACCCAGAAATGATGAGTAAGAGTGAAACTGGGGAAAATGAAATAGAAGAAAGTTAATCTGTCTTTCTCCTTGTGACACACACACACACACACTCCCACTCACCCATACACATATACCAGTGCTATAAGGATTTTAAAGTAAAGATGTGTATTTCTGGAAATATCTAGTGATCTAGGACTAATTATATTTCTTTAACTTAATTTCCTTGAATTGATTGCTAGTAACTGAGCTGAAATAAGTTGCGGTGAGTCTTGACTATGTGTTGTCTCAAATAAGTATCAATGATATATTCTCTATTTGTAGAGTAGCTTTAGTTTTCTCTCTCTTCTGATCTTGTCACTTGATCCCCAGAACCGCCAACTCCTGTGTGGCTGACAAAATTCAATTGGAATGCAGACAACAACCAACAGAGAAAGCACATGTCATTCCATTTATAAGTCTATCCATTCCAGCCCTCAGTTAAAAGGGACTTTGCTAATCTTAGAAACAACTAGAAACATTTTCATTTAATTAAAATGAGTACCCTTCTAACTTCTTAGTATAAAGTAAAGGATAATTTGCATCTGAGTCTATGGAGTCATTTCTTTTTTTCTTTAAAAGAGATCCGTGGGTGCAATTACCAGAAACTCACCAATGACAAATTTCTGCTTGGTGGTGTTTCTAGATCTTAATTACAATCTCTGACAATGAAAAACAACTTCAGTTTTTTCTCAGTAATAAGGACAGTGAGAAACAGTTACCTCTGAGGTCTGGAATGCTGAAACTGGAGGTTTTGATAGTTTATCTAGGAGATTTAAACATTTCCAAAATAACTGACCCAAAAAGCAGTGTGTGCTACTTAAGTACTTTTGAGGAAAGGTTATAAAATCAAAGCTAATAGGGTTAGGAACCTCTTGATTTGACAATGCTTAGTGCTATCAACCAGTAAATCAAAAGAATGGCAGAGAAGTTATCTGGGGTTGTTGAGTTCTTCGAGGCACATTATTTACCATGATGGTTATTGATTATCTAAAATGTGTTAGAATTAAGGTCAGCTACCTAGAGGGAGGAAGCAAAAGCCCCCTTAGTATTTTCAAATGCCTGCTTCTCTTCCTCACCACTCCCACAGGCTGGGGAGGCAGGGAGAAAGAGAGATTAAATACTGTTTTAATTAGTCAGCTGACGAAACACCTGCTATTCAACCTGAGCCACTCTCTTCTCACACCCCAGAAATAAGTCATTACTCGCTGTATCCAGCACAGCGAGTACTTCTCCCTCCCCTTGCCTCACTCCACACCACTTCCCTGCTCTTTTCCAAGTGCCTTAGACTGCTGGAAAGCTGGGGCACTGAGGGACCCTAGAGGTCATCTAGTCCAACCCCCCTGCGCCCGCTTGCCCCCATCCCAAGAGTGCATCCATCTGGGGCATGGACTTACAGCTTTGTGAAACTAATGCCTGTTATTCTCCCCGCTTTCTCCTTTGTCCCTACAGCGCCATGGCTACTTACTCTGCCACATGTGCCAACAATAGCCCTGCACAGGGCATCAGCATGGCCAACAGCATTGCCAACCTGAGACTGAAAGCCAAGGAATATAGTTTACAGAGGAACCAGGTGCCAACGGTCAACTGAGGAAAAAAGTTATTAAACAGGCCTAAGAAGAAATCAAAAAACCATAAGACACCTATCCTGCTCTGTCATTTCTTCATCTGCTGGGGGAAAAAAAAAAAAAAAGTAAAAAGCAAACAAAAACAAAAGCCAGAACTAAAATATTGGGACCATGGCAGAGAAAAGCAGGAGAGGAGCAAAATGAAAATTAGTTAACAGATGTTCCTCCTCCCTCTGGGATACCACCACCACTTGTTTCTGTGTGTGTTTATTTTGTTTTTCTTTCTATTCATGCTTTGCCTAATATACTCCAAGCTTCTTCAGCTAGGTTCAGCCCACCCACCCCATGATTGTATGAGGTTTTTTAAAAAAAACTACAGCAGCCAAAGAAACTATATTTTATATATATGTGCGTGTATCTCCAGAATGATTTCCCCTAGTCTCCTTCTTGACCTGTTTAAACCTCAGTGCCTTACAACTGTCCTTGTCCCAGTTCTCTCTGCAGAAGCTCTAGGAGCTTTTGAAAAGCCAAAGTCTTTCTGAAGAATCCGTGCCGGCCAGACATAATTTCCTTTCTCATTGTCTCCTTTTCTGTTGATCATGGTAAGGTTTTTCCATCAGCTACTGGGAAAAAAAAAAAAATTGTGTACAACATGTGGTCACTGGCCTGTCTGATCCAATGTAATTGGCTGTGTCTGGCTAATTCTAAGCTCTAAGCACAAGATCTAAGCTCTAAGCTATAGATTATAATATCACCAGCACAACCACTCCTCACCCCACCCAAACAATCTTAAAGGTTTCTGTTGTCTTTGAGTGATTTGCTGTCACAGGCTATTTGGTAGAAGAAATATTTTTCATTTGAGAGAGGGGAGAGAAATTTCTCTAGAAACACAAAGACTGCGTTGTAAAAGCCATGCCTACATCTCTTTGGTGCCTTAAGGGCAGTCAGATGTACACTTATATATATACCTTATATATTTATATATTTTATATATATATATATAATATTGCAAGCTTGAGTTTGCAATTTCTCAGACACTACAAAAAGCAAATTTCACACCATCACCACTGTTCGTATCTCTACAGTGATAAGACTTATTAATTAGGGATCTTAAAATTCTCATTAAAGCCACAGAGCAATCGATAGGGCAGCTGTTTGACAACAGGTCTCATTTTCACAGTAGGGCTTTAACTGAATTAGAAACTATTTGAGGCTATAAAAATGTCCTTAAGTTTGGAGCCTGAGCTTTGGTGGAATACTGATACATTTGATCTATCATGGGAATTGCACTTAGAGAGAAGAGGGAAGACCATTTAGTTATTCACTCCCTCTTCACTCAACAGGAATCTGAAAGACGTATGTTTAAGTGGAATACTTAAAGGTGTGTCTAAATTCCAAAATTTAAAATGCAATTGTGGGCTGTTTTTATTTTTTAATGTTTTGAAATAAATTTAGTGCCTAGGGCTGGGAGTCAAGACTGATCCTTCTTTGTTTTTTTCTCTTTGTTCCCAGCCATGCTTTTGTAACTTTTCAGGTGGACTTGACCAAACCATGGTGCCATGCTGTGCCTCAGTTTACCCATTCATGAAATGGGTTTAACAATACTTACCTACCTCACAGGGGTGTTGTGAGGCTCTCTTCATTTGCTTCTTCATTCTTTCTTGTATCCTCTGTATGTCCAGCACTTTGTAGCCGTGGGAGGAAAGGCACTATACAAGTGGACGATGTTAATGGAAGGATACGGTACCTGGAAGCCTTGTTTTCTAGTAAGGAAATGCAACCTTGCTGTACATACTTATAACCTTGTATTTGGAAATGAGAAATAGGCTTATATTTTGAGATCTCTCAAAAAATCACATCATTTGACCAAAAGAATAATTTAAGACACACAGAGCAGACATATTTTTAACTTATATTCTCATCCTGACCAGCTTGGTTCTCAGAATTTTTAGTTATGAATGATTAATAAACTTTAGGTTGATTTTGGCCAAATATGCCAACTCTGTACTGTGAGTGACAGGCAAACTTTTGGGTGTAAGATGCACTTTTAGCACACATTTGTATTTCCCTTGGCATATCAGATTGAGCTAATGGTGATATTATTTCAGTCTAACAGCCACCAGTCTGAAAATGTATTTCAAATGTTGATTCTGTACTTCTTTCAATAATAGGAAGGAACCCCATTTTATACATTTTGCTTTTACCAACTGATTCCCTTTTCTTTTAACCCACTATTAAAACATTTCTTAGTGAATGGTTCATGTAGGCTGGCTGAACAACACACATTATTTGCTTACTAAAGAGTCCCTCCATTCATTCTCTTGTCCCACCAGTTGCTGTGGATTATCAAGTTTTGAAGGAACAGTATATCCTAACAGACTGAAACATTCTTTGATTTGTGAAATGAGTGCAATCCAAGAAATTGGTGAACTTTAGGGGTTTGGAGTTTGGGGAGAAAGGCTAACAGAGGATTTGAGTTATAGGCAGGGAACAAATCATATATGAAAAGGTTTTATCAAGAAGCGGGAACTTGTAGGAGAGTGAGTGGAGAGGTGGAGGGGCACGCAAAACAAACTTATTAGAAATTTTCATCCAGACATCCATTTCTAGTGGTGAACAGAAAAGCCTGAACTCATAAACCAAAAGGGTGGATGAAACTGGGTGACTTTATCCAAGGCCTTGGCCGAGTGATGTCCGGCAATATCATGGAGTAACCACTGCTGGTCAGCCAAGGAAACATTCATTGCTGGTGAACCAACACCATGAGCATCTATTACCTAAGCACTTGATCAAGAAGCATACATGTAGTAAAAGCACTCAGTTTTGTTCATTTATTATTGATTTTTTTAAAAAAATACAAGTTTGATATGTGATTTGAAGGAGTAGCCTCCGGCTCTTAAGCCAGTTGTCAGGGGAGGGCCTCAGGGCCGCAAACTTCAAGACATACCCCTGTTCCTCACCGTCATTATACCCAGATGCAGATGAATGCGTATGTATGAACTGTCTGTGTCCTCAGTCTCTCCCCAATCAAGATGCTGATTCGTAGGGTACTTGGCAGGTTAAATTAAACCAGAAGAGGTGACTTAATAAAAAAGGGAATGTCATTTAGGGTATAAAGATCTCATAAGAAATGTAATATGTAAATTATATCTTGCTTTATGATGTAAAATATACATTGTTTGCGCTAGAATAGAAATGATTCCTTTTCAATAAAAAGAAAGAAGGATAATAGTATGTCTTGTTGTTACACACACTGAGCCTGCTGATTCTTTTCTCTTTGAACTTCAAAAACACAGATCTGCTAGGATCTGAGATTACATGAAGAAGAATAAAGGTAAGAAGGGTTTATAAACAAGAAAACTTTTATCAGAATGTGATATTACTTTCTATAACACAGGAAAATAATGTATTGTTCCTCAAAAACAAAGACAATGGTGGGAGGAAGAGGAGACATTTATTACTATAACGAGTAACTGCAGAGAACTTTTATGAGAGTTTAACATTTTTTTTTTACCAATATGTTTAGCACCCACAATACCAGATGCTGTCTGGGGGAAAAAAAGGCTTTATATAAAGCACAGCTGTTTATTTTGCAATAAAGAAGCAGCAAAATACTATTTCTTAGGCACCCACTGTGAGCATAATGTAGGAGTGTGTGGTAATGGGGAGAATAGAAAACCCAGGCACAGGTTCTGTTTTCATACTAATTAAAATCTGGTTTTAAAGGCAACTCTAGCATGAAAAAATATATGCAACAATTCAAGACGATAAACTAATAAGTATCAAGCAAATAGAGCAGACAGAAGGATTCCAGAAGTTTGAGTCAGCTTACTCTGGGAGCTGAAGTGGGAGAAGTGTCTTTTAGAGGAGCTGGGACTTGAGTTTCATCAGCAAGGGTGTAGACAGGTGAGGAGGGTGTGGTGGCTACTCAGATGGGGGAGGAGAGAAGGCAGGAATGAGAAGGCAGGAATACAGGAATGAGGAATCTGTGCTCAGGAAACTGTGGCTAGGTGGGCCTGGATGAGATAGTGAGTTTATTTTAAAGCAGAGGGGGAGAAACTACTGGATGGAGATTGAAGTTGAGCCTTAATCATGAATGGTTTTGCGTGTCAGACAAAGGAGTTTGGACTTTTCCTCGGGCCACAGAGATCCATTGAAGGTTTCTGAGCAGTAAAAAAAAATTAAAAATGCTATGCAAAAAAAAAATGCGACTTTAGCGGAATTATTCCTGTAAAAGAATGAAGGTAAACTAGAGCAGAACAAGAACTGGAAGCAGATCAGCTAGACATTGCTGCAAGGGAAACAAAACACAAAGGATGAATAGCAAACATCTTGTAAGGAAAGATTCAATAGGGCTTCGTGGCAGGAAAAAGAGGATGGAGTCAGAGATAATACTGGTTTAAAACCCCGGGACTCAGGACTCGGAGAACTGAGAACGAATTGTTGACAAAAAACAACAAAAATGGGAGAGAATAAGTTACAGGAGAAGATAATTGCAGTTTTAAATGTCTGACTGAAGCTCAACACCCAAATGTAAACATCCAGTAAGTGAAGACATGAAAATAGAACTTGGTACCAGAGTCAGCGGTGGAGACAGAAGTTTGAGATTAATGTTTAAGGAGGTGCCACGTTGAGGGACAAGAATGAATGGGTTTGTCTAGACTAGAAAGTGCCATTGTCACTCAAATAATTATTCCTGATAGATGGCTTTTGGAAGTAGTTTCAGCCAGAGAGGAAGATTGGATTTTGCCAAACATCTGCAGGTGGGCAGATGGCTACGGACGTCAATGTAAAAGGAACTGTTTGAGAAACAGGAGGAGAATAAAGCTTTGTTTATCATTCCAGAGTTAAGAGAGGTTTTCCGTAAGACGGGAAGGTGTAACATAGTCAAGTGCTATAGAGAAGACCAGCTAACTGGGCATGGAGGAAAGGCCCTTGGTTTAACGACTTTGAAGAGCACAGTTTACTAGAGTGCTAGAGGAGGCAGGTTGATTTAACAAGTTGTGGTGAGAATAAGTGCTTTTTAGAAAAATGGAACCACTGGCTTGGCATTATAAAGTTCAATAAGGAATCTTTCAGTCGCATGTAGCAAAAACCTATCAAACTAGTTAAAATTATACAGAGGCTTTATTTGAAAAATAGCTCACCGAGTCCGGAGACTTGCTGGGAGAGCCGGGGCAGCTCCAGGGATCCTGGACCCTGCAACAAAGCCCATGCCCTGTCTTTGTCAGTGTGGGCTGCTACAGCGATATACCACAGGCTGGGTGGATTAAACAACAGACATTTATTTCTCACAGTCCTGATGGGTGGGAAGTCCCAGATCAGGATGCCAGCAGACTCGGTGTTGGGAGAGGGCCCACTTCCTGGAGGGTCATCTCCTTGTAGCCTCACATGGCAGAAAGAGTGAGCTCTAGATTCTTTCTCTTCTTATAATGATGCCAATCCTATCATGGGGTCTCCATCCTCATGACCTCATCTAAACCTAATTACCCCCCAAAGCCTCCTAATACCATCCTATTGGGGGTTAGGATTTCACCATGTGAATTTGCATGGGACACAAACATGCAGTCATGCTCTTGGACCAGGTAAGGCCTGTATTCTCTGCCCTGAGGCCCACCTGCACTCCTCTGAACGTGCCCTTCCCCTGAACAAAGAGTCTACAGGGCCACCTACCTGCACGTGCCAACCTGGAGCCTGCACCCTCAGTTCTAGACCATACTTCAGGCACTTGAGATCTGGAATTCGCAAAACAAGTTATCCCAAGCCCACTTTCAGTGCCTGCATAAGCTTCTCTTGGTTCATACTGAGGGATGGCCTCAGTATGAGGTGGGGGCATGCAGATAGGCCTGGAATGTGCATGCTGCAGTTGCCACACATATGTGCACATGTCCACTTAGGGTGCAGGACGGGGCTGGGGTGAGAAGAGAAGCAGGCAGGCCACAGGTTGTGGGCTAGGCTGCAACCTTCTGCCCCACCACTGCCACCTTCTGGAAAGGAACTCCAAGAGTCTGAGAATTCCAACAGCAAATGTGGCTTTTGAGGTCATCATGAAGGTATATCTGTAAAAGTAGGGAAGCAAAACATAATTTGTTTAACAGTGTGTTAGCTTGATTTATAGCATGAATATATGGACACAAATATGCAGGCCTTCCGTTTGTACTCTCGCCCTGGGCCCCAGATTTGACAAGGCCTCCACAGTCCAGGATTCTCTCTTTTCCCATCTGTTCTTGGCCTCTTATTTTTTCTCTTATCTTCATTCTTCCCAACTAACCAGCCTTTCAGCAGACAGAAAACACGGCTTCTGGCAGCTTTAGACTCACATTCTCCAGAAGGGCAAAGAATCTCCCAAGCCGGTTCTAAGTAGAACGATCCAGGGGAGGGATTCTGAGTGGCCAGGCTCAGGTGACGGGGCTCTCCAATTCCGTGCTGCCTGTGGGGCCCTCTGATTGGCCAGACTGGTTCACGGGGTGTACTCTGATGGCAGGTGCGCAAGAGGACCAAGGGGAAGTGGCTGTGAGCCGGCGCAGACTCCTGCAAGAGGAGGGAATGGTGTTATCAGAAGGGAAGAAACGCTGGGACCGACAAAAGCAACGTTCCATGCTCGGCTCCCAGCACACACGCCTCTTTCTTCCTGTCATAATGCCTTTGCCTAACAGGAAGCCAAAGCTCCCTAAAGCACTTAGCCACCAGGTACCTTGCGGCACAGGTATGTTTCGATCATATCTGTAGGTGGTTTCTTATGATCCTGTCATCTGTAGCTACATTAGCATTTTAACCATCCCCAATGGGTGTGAAGAAGAGAGGCTAACAACAATAAAACTGTCATTTAGGGGAAAGCAAAGGGGAAGTTGTAAATAGTGTTCACTTCGCTGTAGCATGTGACACCAGGAACACTGAGGACTCGATTCCTTCACAGTAAAGTGGCTTCCTCGTCCAGTCTGGCTGGCTGTGCCCAAGTCTGCCTACTTCAACCTTTGTCCCCCTTGGCCGGGCCTGGGGGCCGGTAGGGGGGCTCGGCTGAGAGTAGCATTGCTCTAACATCCCAGGGGACGAATGACATATACCTCCTTTAAGACCTGGCTTGGCTGGCTTTACATTCAATTTCTGGAGATTTCATAATCAGAAACCAATGCCAAAAATATTGTTGAGTTATCATTCTCAAATCTGAACCCGTCCCAGCTCCGCATTTTTTTTTTCTTGACAGGACTCAGATCTGCTCATCCCTAAGACCTCAATGTAATTACAGGCTTCACTCTAGTCTGCTTTGGACAGAATAATGCAAGAGTTTGGGGCAGTGCTAATCTGCCCCATGCTCAGGCAGCATTCCAGAAGATTGTGACTTACAGTGGGTGAGGGTGGGGACTATTACATTATTACAGGTCTGGGGGACCAGGCACCTCAGCAAGAGGTTTGGGAAGGGGCTGGGAAAGGAGACCTCCATTCATTTCTCTAGCCCCTCCCAAGCCTCGGTTCTTTCCACTGTGTTTCAAATTTCTTGCCGTTGCTTGAAAAGGGTGAAATGATCTTGCAGTTCAGCAGATTCTGACCTTTGATCTGACCCTGGGGAGCGTTGGAGAGTTGGCCTTGGGTTGAGATCCTCCAGGCTTTTCAAACTACAATAGGTCATCTAGTTCTAGATATGAAGGCCTGTAATTAGTAACTTTCCACTTTCACCTATCAATTTCTGTGTTTCAGTTCAGGTGCATTTCAGTTGCAAGTGGCAGAAACCCAACTCAAATTAGGTTAAGATGGTTTAATCAAGCCGGGCGCGGTGGCTCACGCCTGTAATCCTAGCACTCTGGGAGGCTGAGGCGGGCGGATTGCTCGAGGTCAGGAGTTCGAAACCAGCCTGAGCAAGAGCGAGACCCCGTCTCTACTATAAATAGAAAGAAATTAATTGGCCAACTAATGTATATATATATAAAATTAGCCGGGCATGGTGGTGCATGCCTGTAGTCCCAGCTACTCGGGAGGCTGAGGCAGCAGGATTGCTTGAGCCCAGGAGTTTGAGGTTGCTGTGAGCTAGGCTGACGCCACGGCACTCACTCTAGCCTGGGCAACAAGCGAGACTCTGTCTCAAAAAAAAAAAAAAAAAAAAAGATGGTTTAATCAGAGGACTTATTAGATGGATGGGATGTGGCCACAGGATGAAAGGAAGATCTATAAGAATCAGGGTAATTCTGAGAACCTCACGTGCTGGAAATGAGACTTGGTGGCACCAGGATC